TATATTAATATGAAATAAAATAATTGCAACTATTGACTTAATTTTATTGTCATAAATAATATTAAGCATGTATTAGTTTTATACGCACTCCTTTCTGTTGACCTTCTCAGCCATTTTCTTAAGGCTATTTCGCTTACTTTTTAAGCAGCACCATTGTCACTCTCAGCAGCAGCTAAAAAAAGACATTACATTTTATATGAATATTGAGTCTTAAATCAATCATTTAATAAACGCCTAATCAGGCAAAAGTGATAGTTAAAAATGTAAAATTTTTAGATAAAATATTATTAGCTAATATGAAAATATGCATTGACTAATGTACTTCACCCCTATACTTACATATAAATAAAAAACTGCTCATTGTTTCATTAAATTACCATTTTACTTTCATGTCATCATATTATGTGAATTCTTTCGTAAGGGTATTAGAAATTATGGAAACAAACCATCTTTTTATAAGTTCGTCATGTCCTTGTCCCTGGTTTTGGTAACGGCTGAATCTAAAATTGCAATAAAAATATGTATTTGTGAACATTAAAGAGAAATAACTTATGAAACCACTTTCAATGCATTATTTCTTAAACGTTACAAAACGATTCTATTTTATTTAATAAAAGTAAAACTTACAGCTTCTTTAAAAATATTTGTATCTTCTAAATAGCCTTCTACTTCTGCTAACGTCTCATGCAGTACAAATAGAAACTTTTCTCCTGCTTTGAAAGTTTTCTCACCTTTTAGTTACAATAATAATTGTGTTGACATCATCTCGAATTTGCAGCATATTAGTTAGCTCTTAGTAAAGCCATTTTCTTAAATAGGTAGGTACATTATTTGACAAAAGATCTAAAAGAAAGGGATTCTTTGAATGTAAATCGAAAACATAAAGTTTAAAACATAATTGATAGGTTATATTAGTTTAAAACAAACGATTTGCTTTTTAATTTTTAGATTTTGAAATGATTTAATTAATAATTATACTTATTTTCTTACCAGATAAACATCTATGTGTTACATATAGCCATAGGCTGTTTTCTTCTTAACCTCTTTCTTCTTTGAGTTTGGCCTGAGTTGGCTTTTACTTTTCTATCTTGTCAACAGAGGCGAGAGGAGAGGAAAATTATTTGATTTATTTTAATTAAAACCTAGTAGTAAATAAATTATACAAGAAGAATTATAATAATTTATTATAGGTTAGTCATTTTTATAGTGTCCATCATGGACATTTTTTGGACATCCATTGGACTTCTGAATGGGTATATCCATTGGATAACGGAAAATGGATGTCCAATGAATATCCATATGAAGTTCATGGACATCCAGGACATTATTTGGACAAATTATGGACGTCCAATGGACGTCGTGTGCTATCTGGGGAACGATATCTCTCATTTAATTACTTTGTAGTTAATGCCGACGAGCTATGACCTCGTCTTTTAGTTATTACTTGTATTCCATATTTACTTATCTTTCCAAATGACAACATTTTTGTCTTTTATAGTTTTAATATTTCGGTTAATACATTTAAGAGTATAAAATAATCTTACTCTACCGAATAATTTTATTAAATAATTATGTGGAAATTTTTCAAATGGATGTGAAAAACTTGTGTTTCTACAAATATTTTGAAACGTATCTATTACATTTTTGTGTATAATAATAGTTTCAAAATTTATTTGAAATATTACCTCTAAAAAGGAGATAAATTTTACAAAATCATTGTGTGGCATGTTAAAGTTACCAAATAAATCTAAATTGGAGTTGTTATAAGCTTTATACATAGTAACAAAATAAAGATGTATCGTCCAAATTTTGATAGGCTTTTGAATATTCCTCGCAAATTGTACAAGAATGTATAGATAGGCATTTTTTCATTAGGTAACCCGCAAAATACCTTTCGAAATTCGTTTCTAACGTGGACTCTTTTTGATAACTGCTATCAATTTCTGGCTAATTACCTAAAGTGTATCATAACAAGCAACTATTACATTAAGGTATTTATAAATAATACGGGTATAATTACAGTAATTCCAGAAAGATATTGGAGATTAAATATAGAAATGCCGAAAATTACCTAAAGTGTATCATCATAATAAGCAATTACTAGGGATAATTTAGTTTTGTAGGTCAGAAAAGAAACATTTTGATTCTTAAAAAAAAAGGTATTTTTGTATATTACTCGCGTCCAAACCATTTATGAATAAATAAATACTGTTAAATTGACTACTTTTAATTGCGTCGTTGTTCTTGCTAACCAGCATGTAAACATTATTTTCTACTCATGTACTATCATTTGTTAATTAAATGTTAATATTCAGTTTCATAATGATATTCATTATATTACTGGTTTTTCATTAAGAAACTGAAAAATTGATCAACAGAGTTTCTATATTTTGTAATAATCATGTAAGTATTCAGTTATTTTCCCCAAATAGTTTTTGACAGTTTGAGGAAGATTTATGTTCTGTGTCAGTATAGATCTTCGATTTTGAAATATCTAGGTTTTTTAAATTTGAAAAAGGATGTCCAGCAACGATAATGTTCCATGTAAACTACTCGAAATTGAAGGTATAAAATGTATAGTCAACATTTAGACTGGAAACTAACAAAGGAAGTATCATTCTTTTCTAAAAATGTATTGCTTTGAACAACTCTCAACCAAATTAAAATACTCGTTACTACATTTTAAAAAAACCGAATATTAGACATAAAACTGATATGTGAGAGAATACCCAAAATTACTATCATATAAAAATAGAAAGTCCAAAGGCTATAGCGGAAAAAAATCCGAAACACTTTTGGGAAATAAAAAAATATTTATTATTATTATTATCATTTAGTTATCTTAACAAGTAGTCATAACAATTTAGATTATCTAAGGTTTCGAGGGATTAAAAGCATTATATTTTTTTAAATTAATCTATTTTCGATTAAAGAACTGGTTCTTGGTCGTAGAAAGGGGGTGCCCCCCACCACCATTCAGCATCCACTTCTTCGGTTTTATGGGTTGCAGATGTGGGCCAGGAGGTGACGTGATAGTAAAATTCCAGCAATTTAATGTAATATATTGCATTAATTTTTTTACGGCACTTATTTTTTTTTACATTTATTGGAATTTGTGGTTCGTATGCGCATTTGGTAGGAAGGGGTGGACAATTTTTATTTTGCTTCATTAGTTTAAAGCTATGAGATACTAGACCACCTATATATTCATAGGTTTTGACATATCCACTGGTGTCATATACAAACTGCCTATAATTTGACATAGAAAACTCTTCAATGCTTTCTACAGCAGTTGTAATTTTTTTTGTAAAACTGAGGCCGCTAATTTTTAAAATCTAAAGTATCTCCGTAGGTTATTTGTTTATTGGTAAATGGTTTAATTTGTCGAAATGACAATATAATTTCCTCATATTCCTCTGGAATATATACACGATCGCGTCTTCTAACGCATATTTTTAGGACTCTAAAATCCCTATCATAGGGCAAGAATGAGTGGTCTCTGATCGGAAAATATTGGAAAAATTTTTTAACACGCGTTGTTGCTACTATTTTGAAGAGAAAATTAACAGAATCAACTCTCACAGAGCGATTTTCGCAACTAATAAAATAATATTCAAAACATCAACTTCAAAGTAACAGTAATCAGTGTAAAAACAGTACATGTCCTGGACTTGTACTGTTCTTCCACTCATCCAGTTTCAACGTAATTTATACTGCAGAACCTATGGTGTGTATTGCACTGTTTTTAATCTTAATGGGTGGAGACACATGTTAATATCAATTTGGCTATCTTAACTCAAAACGTCATTTTTTGGACTAGTACTGTTCTTTGACTCACTGATTCAATTATAAATTCACGATTTCGATACCACCGCCCGTGCACTGAAACTTTCGGTGTAGAATATCGGTGTAGGTGTGCTTGAAGGTCACGAGCCCTCGAAGATGACGTGATAGGAGATATCCTTCTGGTTATTATTTATTCTTGTGCAGAGTAACAGTAACAGTAAACCTTTACACAACCGAAAGAGTAAACCTTTACACAACCACAATAGTCAACTTTACAAAACGGAAGTCACCAGTACTAAAAGAAATGGAGATTGTGCTTGCCAGGAAGTAAAATATTTGGGTGTTATCTTTAACTATAGGTTAACACAACATCTTTCAACTTATGCCAAAAAAATTTGGGCCTACTACTAGTCAAAGTAGTTTAACTAATTATTCAAGGATAACCACAATAAGTCTGATTGAGACTAAGGTCGAGGTGAAGCTACATAACCAAATATCTAAATGTCCAACGGAAAATTTGCATGGATGGGTGAATTATATTGAACGGGATAATGTTAAAAAAAACTAAGCCACATATAAAATTGTCAGAAAATAACTGCAGGATACGAAATACCGATATAAATCTGATAAGCTGGGCTACAATTTAGGTTTATTATCCTAATTTTTTTTTGATACTTTTTAATTCTACCATTACATTCGCATTAGAAAAAAAATAATAAATTCCAGATGCGTGTTGACTGGTTTATATAATAGGGAATTAGTATTGGGACTGGGACGCACTAATTGCGAAGTGTAGGGTTGGAAAAAAGAGGATTATGCTGGAATTGATATAAAAAACAAACAAACAAAATTAATATTCATCTCTATGTTTAGGATTAACTTCGGTTTAATAAGAACGTGAAATATGTTTCAAAAAATTAGAACGTTTTCCTTTTTACCTTTAGTGTATAACGAGGTAATTTATAGAACGGTAGATAAATAAAAAAAAGAAAATTTCAAAATAAAATGTTGGTCTGTCCTATATAAAGATACTTATTTACACAATTTTAATATTATTGGTAACCTCATTAATTTAGTAAATAGCATAAATATAAATGGTTTGCATATAACTATAATTTTTGTATATTAAGTTAATTTTTTTATTACTTGTAAATACTTTGTTATTAAGCTATTGATATCGCTCAAAAAAATTATGTTTTTTGTTCCGTTTTCAGTTGAATATTGGAGGAAGCATCCTATGTATAATCATCGTAACACTTCTTCACTACTTCCACATCACAACATTTTTCTGGATGTTTGTCGAAGGTAAGTTTGATTAAAATATTTTTTTACTAAATAGAAAATATTTTTAGAAAATTTCTATATAAAACTCTTATTGTTTATTTCACTATTTCACTATTTCACAAAATAACATATTTGTATTAATTCAACTGTTTAAACCATTGCAATTGGCATTATTAAATTAAAATAATAAATAAATGAATTATTATAAGCTTAAATTTACTAAGTAAATTTGTTAAATTGCTCTATTCATCCCAACAATTTATTGTAAAAGAGATTAATTTAAATTCTGCTTCCATCTATCGCTATTGTATATTAAATTTTAATTAATTAGTTCATAAAATAGTTAAACAAATTATAACGTGATCATATTCTACGTATTCTATATGCTATATATTAGTTTAATTTCAATTTTAGTATGTTTACAATTTTTCGTCACCCTGTAATATTTTCGGAATCATGACCACAAAAGACTTTCAGTCTTCAAACGCTAGCAGTTTTATATGCAAAAAAGGAATGCCTTTAAGTTGTTTTAAATTCGTTTATCTCTAGGGGCTGTTATGTACCAGCTACTTGGCCTCAATATTAGTGTGAACAGCGTAGGATAGACAATAGAAAAATGTCAATGAGGTTTTAAAACTAGTAGAAAAATAATTAATCAATAATCAAGAAAAAATTAAATAAGGCAATAGGAAAAAGAATACGTGAAACAAATAATATAATATCTGGTTTGTTTTGAAGAAATTATAAGATATATTACATATTGTACCGGTTGTTCCATTAAGAGAGGTAGCCCGGCTATATTTCAGAAACTAATAATAGTACAGCTTTGGGGAAAAATATTTTCAATAAAAACGGTTAAGAGAAATTGCTGGAAATTATTTTCAAGTTTGTAGGATGGCCGATAGGGGGCGTAGTTACTGAAGTTAAATATTTTTTACGATTCTGGCAAATATATATTCATTTTTTGGATGTAGTATCAACACATTGGATATTTTAGACTCTTTTACTAGTGAATTATCTATAAAATTAAAAGGACTTAATCCTACTTGGGGGTCTGGAAGGAGAGTTTAACTGGTAGTTTTAAAATTAAGATACAAAAATATAATTAAGACAGTTACAAAAATAAATTTACCAACAAAAAAACAAGATGAACAAGATGCATCAAGAATTTTAAATTTATTTACATTTTAACTGTTGGTTTTAAAATCTTACAGCAAACCAATGTAGCATCTCAAGATTAGCAAGAAAAATAAATAGACTTATTGAAAGTATCTCAATGTCTAAAATTGTATATTTTTAACATAATTATTTAATAATAATTAATAAATCAATTAGTACTGCAAGAGCTTCGATTATTAATCCAGAATTTGAAGATAAAAGGCAACCAAAACCTTTGATGAGCCAAGTACAAATTATGTATTTTCTAGTCGAGAAAATTACTTTATGGCAGACATACACAACTTTTGACATTGTAATTAATCAAAAAGGAAACCGTTTTGGAGGAATGGAACTGTTTGTAAATACATTTAGATTTCTATGTCCCCAGGTTATAATAACTTTTGTCTGAAGAGAAATTATTTAAATCGGCAGAAATCTTGCAGCAAACTTATTTCAACGATCTTTTCACAGCGTTTTCTTTGGAGATAGTCGCTTTGTGTTTACAATTGAAAAAAAATTACCTCACTACAAAATATAAAAGACTGATCAGTTTAAGTGATTGAAAATAATACTTTAGCTTCAAATTTTGCAGAGGTAACTACAGAAGCATTATTATTATTTCTCTTCCTGTCCAGTATTGCATTAGCAAAAAGATCTTTTTCAAAATTAAAAATTATTAAAGTAATAGTTCCTCCCAGACAAGGTTAAGTAATTTGTCTATGCCATCTATAGATGTACAAGAGGCTGCTAAAACTGATAATAAAAATTTAATTAAAACTTTTGCAGAAAAAAGCAATTTTTACTTTTATAAATATTATTATTCTGTGTATAAATGTTGGCTTAATTTTATTTTACTCGTATACTTTAAGCTACTTGAAGGATGTTTAATTTTTTGTTTTTTTTTTAGAGAATATTTGTTTATTTTTTTTTTCTCAAGAGTTTTATTCATTTCCTTTATGTTTCTTATATTTTACATAATATGCAGTGATAATAAGTACCTAAATTTATTTCACTTTGTTTAAAACGTGAGCCATTTTTTATACAGAAAAAATATATTTGGTAGGACGACCATAATTAATTCATGCGGGAGGGTGGGGGGCGTGGGAACAATTTGTTGCTATGCCACTGTATGGTAGTTCTAGTCAATAATTATTAGCGAAGAAAAAATTATACCAGTTACGATTATCTCGTATAAACAGTTTTGGAATGTACACTTCAAAATATCGTGAGAAAGTTACGACCTAATTCTTTTACCGTTTATATGAGAAATCATTACAAAACTTTAAATGCTCATATCTATGCTCTTCTTGAAGTTAGCTCAACAAACTCATCTTGATTATGACTCTACTTAAAGGCAACCACAAACTAGTTTATTTATATTACACGATATTGATGGGTTAAAATTAATCGAGATGCAGCAGTAATGATCTGTATTTAAAACGTTTGGAGGGTGAATTAGACCTCACTAGGCTCAACGTGCATCCTTTCAAGATGATAGGCACCTTCCTAGTCTAAATAAAAGAGTGCAGTAAAAGTGGGGATATAACATCACATTCTATAAGCATACTTTGTAAAATAAATTTTTATATTATAAATAAGATCACGGCATATATTAAATTTGGAATTAAAAAATAAAAATATATCTTATGCTTCTGACAAAATCGTTATACTTTAACACTGAACGAATTAGGTTTAACTTTTTTTAGTCTCTTGCCATTAAAACACTTCACCTAAAAAATAAGTTGAAAAACTATGTGTAAAAAGTCATTGTCTTCACTATAACTACTGGTATCATTATCATTGTCTCTTTTGAGGTTTATTGTTATAGGGTATATTAAGTTTTTAATTGCAATATTCACTTTTCAATATGAATTTTCCACCATTTTAACATAATTAATGCATTTTCTCTAATGTTCTTTATTTAGATCTGAAAGGGAACTTAACGTTTTTGGTAATTTTATTTCAATGCACATATCTATGTTCTTCTTCAAGTTAGCTCAACAAACCTAAGTTTTAGATGGAAAAAAGTGTCCACACTCACCAAATACGGATCCAATTTTCCCACATCTCATAAAATTGGTTTTTCAAATTAAAAAACTATGCCAACATGAATGGCAGCTATTCCTCTTACTATTATTTTCCACTTTATTTTTAAAACTTAACAATTTCCTGAGATGTGGAAGTTAGCTAGAGTTAGTCCAATCTTTAAAAATGGCAGCAAAAATGATATATCCAACTATCGCCCTGTCACACTTCTGAACAATTTCTCTAAAGTTTTTGAAATACTTGTGCATACTTTCCTTTCATTTTCGTTTCGCCAAATCATTAGTCCAACCCAACATGGTTTTATTGCTGGTCGCTCTACTGTATAACTCGTTGTATTTCTGAAGTTTTAGATAGAAGAAGTCAGGTTGATGTTATATAAATTGACTTCTCTAAAGCATTCAATAGAATTGATCACAAACTTCTAATAAATAAACTTTCAGTACTTGGATTTCATGGCTCCTTATTAAATGTTTTACAGTCATATCTATCAGATCGTTACCTTTATGTTCAGTACTTAGGGCATAAATTAATGAATTTTAAACAAACATCCGGCATCCCGTAAGGTTCGGTTTTAGGGCCTTTATTATTTCTGCTTTTTATTAATGATATTGTTTGTAATTGGAGCGTCACAAATCTATTGTTTGTCGATGACCTAATTTTTTTTATGAAATCTCTAGTTATAATGATTGTTTATTGCTTCAAGAGAATCTTAACCGCTTAACCGAATGGTGCAAAAGAAATAAGTTACCGTTAAATGTTAAAAAATGTAATGTTATGACATTAACTAGAAAGAAAGCGCCAATATTATATAATTATAACATACAAAATTCTACATTAAATTGACCAGAACTGATGAAAGATCTTGGAATTTTTATTTGATCCAAAATTAACGTTTACATCGCACATTAAAAAAACAACTGCTTCTGCTTATCGAATTTTAGGTTTTGTTATAAGGAATATGAGATTATTCAATGACTTTTCAACGATAAAAATACTTTTCTCTTTGCTGGTTTTGTCAAAATTCGAATATGCCAGTATCGTTTGGAGTCCGATAATTAACCATTTATAATCACATTAACCATTTGCAAAGAATTCAACGAAGATTTTTTAAATCTTTTAAGTGTTGGTATCTATCCCATAAGAGAACTTCTTCAAAGTATTTAAACCGTTTCAATACATGTAGTCTTTTAAAAAGAAGAGCAATGCATTGTATTTCATGTTTGGAAATGTTAAACTTTCACGTCTCTAGAGTTAATTCCCGAAGAAATCAACTATTCTATCAACAAGCACATAGAACTAACATATACAAAGCATCGCCTTTATTTCAAATTATCCTAAACTATTCAAACATTAAAGATGATATAGATATTCCTAATTGCTCTGTTGCATCTATTACAAGTATCTTCCTGTCAAATTAATTTGTGCAGTAATTATTAAAGGCGTAAATGGATGTATCCTTTTTTTCTTATGTAAGTTTTTTTTCAGGATGCACCCGTGTCTGTTTAAATTCGTATTTATTTAGATTTAAGTTTATATATGTATATAGATAAGAATAATTATTTATGTTAATTCCCAATTCTTGTAATAGTCCTTTCCTTATCCTGTAATTAGGGGCAACCCTGTTGGATATTGTAATAAAATAAATAAATAAAAATATTTAGCTAATCTTAGAGATTTATTTACAACTGCATGAGTGGATTTTTGGCAGAGACAAGCATAACATCTTTGTCTCCTTTCCTATTGTAATTAACTGAATAATTATTTAACAGAGGCCTAATTTTTGTATGTTCTAATAAAAAGTGTATTTTTGTCCTGCA